GAAATCGGTAAGAATTCTGGGTTTATTAAAATATATGTGCTTACCCCCCCTCTGTCTCTCCTGATCCAAACTGAAAGGAGGAAGAAGAAGAGAAAAGGGAGGAGGAGGAGAAAGCATATGACTTATACATAAGGTTAATTTTCAGATGGTTCACTTGGCTTTGAAAAGAAGTTGTAAGTGCATGCGTGCGTGCACACGTGCACACTTAAAAGACCACGGGCACCGTGGAGATGGCTCATTTGGTAATGTCCAACCATCTAAGCATTAGGATCCAAGCTCAGAACCCTGACCAACACAAGTCAGGTACAGCAGCCCACATCTCTAAACCAGTGCTTGAGAAGGCAGAAGGGGGATAGGATCCCTGGGCTGTCCAGACCGTTCCGTTGAGTCATCAGGGCAGAGGGCAGGAGAGACGGCTCAGAGGTGAAGAATACTAGCCACTCTTGCAGAAGAACTGAGTTGGTTCCCAGCACCAGCAAGGCAGCTCGCAACAGCCTGTAACTCCAGTTCCTTGGAGGCCTAATGGCCTCTGACCTCCATGGAATGCATGCACATGCTTTCGACAAAAAACGCACACATAAAATAAACATTGATACTTTTTTTTTTTTTTAGAAAAAGGTAGATGGCTGGGATGGTTTGAAAAAAAAAAATGGCCCCATAGGCTCAAATAGCCTAGTTACCAGGGAGTGACACTATTTGAAAGGATTAGAAGGATTAGGGGCGTGGCCTTGTTAGAGAAGGGTGTCACTGGGCTTTGAGGTTTCAAAAGCCCGTGCCAGGTCCAGGCTGCCTCTCTGCCTGTGGGTGAGGATGGAGCTCTCGACTGCTTCTCCAGGGCCAAGCCTGCTGCCACGCTCCTCACTACGATGACAATGGACTAAGCCTCGCTCCCAGTTAAACGCTTTCTGTTGTAAGAGCTGCCTTGGTCATGTGTCTCTTCACAGCAATATAATAGTGACTGAGACTGAACCCACCAACGGGTGGAAAGGTCAAGTTGTGCGAACCTACATATGTGTATCATAGCACATGTGTCATGGTCTCCACACACGTATGTGATAATGAAAATATTATTTTTAAAAAATGAGGTATAGAGCAAACGAATAACACACATCAAACTCCAGCCTCTACATGAATGCGCATAGAAGCATGCATGTATTAACACTGGAAGAGATAAGGGACGGTTCTAATATTTTTTAAAAATGAAGCACTCTAGAAAGTATCAGTAAAATGAAAGGTTCAGTTCTCTGTCGCTATGCTCCACACGAAACCAGTTAAATGTTCATTCTCTTTTTTCCCCATAACATCTCCCATAATATTTTGTAAAATATTTTCCCATGACTAATCTGCATTGCTCTTTAGTCTCACTGTTTCTTTCAAATTGTGATTACAAATATGAGTTATTTTCTCCAAAACTGCAATTATACATCAAGGGTAAAACTAAAGGAAGTTAGAGAGGCAAAAGTTAAAAGGATGACAGCAATGTTTGTGTTCCGAGGATTGGACTGGATGCCTCAGCACACACGGTATCATGTCATCTTAGTGACTGAGACACACATGTACACTGGGTACTTTAGCACACATAGTATCATGTCATCTTAGTGACTGAGACATACATGTGCACTAGGTACTTTAGCACACACGGTATCATGTCATCTTAGTGACTGACATGTGCACTAGGTACTTTAGCACACACATGGTATCATGTCATCTTAGTGACTGAGACACGCATGTACACTGGGCACGTTAGCACACACGGTATCATGTCATCTTAGTGACTGAGAGGTGCATGATATTTTCCATTTCACAGAAAAGGAGACACAGGCCTATATCATAAGCAAGTATTTCCCTAAGTCATGTGCATTTAAGGGCTGTGCAGTCCAATATGGTAGCCTATGGCTAACAAACACAGATTTTTAAGATACAGCATAGTAAAGTAAAATATCTGATTCTGAATGGCATCAGTATTTTATATTGACATTATTTTACATTTAGTTGGTTAAAGAAACGTACTATGAAGTTACTACTTCTTTATGCTCATTTTAAAAATTATCTACCACAAATTTTCTACTTATCCATGGGGTTTGCACATTTTCCAGCCCACGGTATGGCCTAGCATGCACGGTGGAGGTTGAAGAGGTCAGCAGACGCCAAGCTGAAAGACACGCCTGTGCAGAAGAGGCTATATGGATTCCAGGGGACCTTAAACGTCCCGTGTGTCAGCAATGGGTCATGGGTAAGTTAAGTTACCCCCAAAGCTGCGACATGGAAAGCAGGTGACACACGATTAGCAAGGGCAGGAAGGGACTACTGAATGCTTCTCACAGCGACTGCTTAGTTAAAAAACGGGTCCCCCAAAGAGCAGGAAATCCACTTATTTGAAAATTACGTGTTACTGTCTTGTAAGAGGACTCAGGTACCTCCCACTTCCTGTTTAAGTTTGCCCCACAGACAGAAGTGTAGCATGAGTTTCTGGCAGTTCACCCTCCCTCTGTTTACACTTAGGCTGATAGGAAGCCAAGGACCCAGGGCAAATGATGACGCTGGGGAGAGGTACAAAACCAGGACATCAGAGTAGGTGCCGAGGCCCAACGTGGGGACTCTAATCTCAGTGCTCCACTGGCAGAGGCAGGAGAATCTCTGTGGCTGCAAGATCAGGCTGGTCTACGTGGTGAACTCCAGGACAGCCAAGTCAACACAGAGAGACCCAGTCTCCAAAATAGAGAGGTGGGGGCCCAAGAGGTTCTCATGACACCGTCATCTATCCCAAAGGAAAACCTGCTCGCCAATGCTCTTCTTACGTCAGAGTTGAAAGTCTGAGTCCGGGGAGTAGACCCTAGTCTACTGTCCTGAGCTGAGGTGCCAACCAATTGCTCTAGTGAACAAATTAGCCCGTTGTTATAACTGAGAACTGAGCTGCACAGAGTCACCAAGAACTACAGCACGGTGTAGGACATCCCAGCCAGTGTCTCCCCACGCTCCCGTGTTACATGACTACAGCATGGTGTAGGACATCCCAGCCAGTGTCTCCCCACGCTCCCGTGTTACATGACTACAGCATGGTGTAGGACATCCCAGCCAGTGTCTCCCCACGCTCCCGTGTTACATGACTACAGCATGGTGTAGGACATCCCAGTGTCTCTTTACATGACTACAGCATGGTGTAGGACATCCCAGCATCTCACCATGCTCCCGTGTTACATGACTACAGCATGGTGTAGGACATCCCAGCCAGTGTCTCCCCACGCTCCCGTGTTACATGACTACAGCATGGTGTAGGACATCCCAGCCAGTGTCTCCCCACGCTCCCGTGTTACATGACTATAGCATGGTGTAAGACATCCCAGCCAGTGTCTCCCCACGCTCCCGTGTTACATGACTACAGCATGGTGTAGGACATCCCAGTGTCTCTTTACATGACTACAGCATGGTGTAGGACATCCCAGCATCTCACCATGCTCCCGTGCTACATGACTATAGCATGGTGTAGGACATCCCAGCCAGTGTCTCCCCACGCTCCCGTGTTACATGACTATAGCATGGTATAGGACATCCCAGCAGTGTCTCACCATGCTCCTGTGTTACAGGCCAGACGGCTGAAACACTTAGATCATTATTTATATCTATAGACAACTTCAAGAAAATGCAATAATGCACCCACATGTGTGTGCACACATGCATAATTCCACACATGGAAACAAGTGTCTAAAGAATAAGACTAGAGAAGTTAAAGCTGTAAGGGTCACCAACTTTGGGAAGAGATCCTAGAAATACCCACTGTTCTCTAGTTTGGAATTTGACACAAGAATGTAGAAATCTTTAGTATGGCTAATGCTGGGAGGGGCAGGGAGGATGGGGCATGTCCTTTGACTTCAAGAACAAGGTTAAAAACTCACCACTTGTCATGAATTTGAGTATTCCCTGAATACAAATACATTGCTCTGGGCTCTGAAATGAGCACTAACTGATGAATATAATATAACTGTGTCCATTTGAACTTTCAATAGTGACTTCCAATTAAGCTACAACTAGAAGAATCCTGAAAGATGATCAGTAGCATTAGTTTATACGAATGAGAAAGGAAAGTTATCAGCTAAGAACCAGGAAATGTTGCCAAAACTCCACTCCCCAATAACAAGTTAGATTTCCAATATTTAAAAGTTAAGGGGAAAGTACAACTTAAGAGAAAACAAACACTGAAAGCATTCAGGCTACCAGCCACATCCAAAATGCATCCTTTGAACAGTTTACATCAGGAAAAGCTTGTTAGCATCAACTCTCCCCCCTCCCCCACACACATTAACTTTAAATTAGCTGATACCAAGCCACCGCTTACACTGAACTTCTGTTTGGTTTCCAAGAATAGCCTCCGTCGTTTTTTGAGCGGGTAAAGAGGGTAGATTTTATGGGAGGGGAGGGACACTTCGTTCTTTCTATGTAAATGTCATAAGCTTCTATATGCCAAGCCTGCTGAATACTGTGAGATCTCCAAATTATTTCACAACGTGTCTTTAAAGTTCTGCACTAATTCATTCCTGCCAACCCTCTTGGCAACGTTTAATCTTTTCCGCAACGAGAAAGGCCCTCTCAGCTCGTATGGGCACTGTCACAGAATACCCTGTGTGTGTGTGTGTGTGTCTGTGTGTGTCTGTGTGTGTGTGTCTGTGTGTGTGCAACTTTTGGCTGTCAAACCTCCCCGGGGCGGATCTGAGCGCGCGCTCACTCGGCACAGGCGCGCCTACACCCGGCGGCTCCCCCTTTCCCTGGCGCCCACCCACCTTACTCATCGCTTCTCTCCTGGCAAGTTTGAAACTTTGTTTTCTCCGGGGTTTGGGGAGGTGGGGTGGGGTACAGAACGAGCGCTGCCGGTGTCCTAGAGACAAAGGGCTGAGCTGGGGTTTCACGGGACCGCCCGATTTTAGGTGGTGAAACAAAAGCCCCGCAAACGGGAGCCCCGGGGAAGGAGGTGGTGCAGCCTCCCCCGCGCGCCCCGCTCTGCTCACCGCTTCACGCGGATGATCTGGTCGCGCATGGGCTTGATGTCCTGGAAGCTCTGCTGGTTGACCAGGCTGTAGACGAGGATGAAGCCCTGGCCGTTCTTGATGTACAGGTCCCGCATGGACGCGAACTGCTCGGTGCCCGCCGTGTCCAGGATCTCCAGCACCGACGGCGACGAGTCCACCTCGATCTCCTTGCGGTAGAAGTCCTCGATGGTCGGGTCGTACTTCTCGATGAAGGTGCCGGTCACGAACTGCACCGTCAGGGCGGATTTGCCTACCCCGCCCGAGCCCAGCACCACCACTTTGTACTCGCGCATCGTCCCTGCGGCGCGGCCGCCGCCCGCGACATAGACCTGCGCCCGCACCGCGCCGCGCCGCGCGCCGACCCCGCGGCCCCGCCGCCTCACGGCCGCGCCAGCGCCCCTGGGCGAGCCGCGGCCCCGGGGGGAGAGGGCCCAGCCGGGAGGGCGACGCTGCAGCCCCCGAGGGCGCCGGCAGCAGCGACGAGGGAGCGCGAGCCCGAGCCGGAGCCGCCCGAGCCGCGGGCCCGCAGTGCCGCCCGCCCCGCCCCGCCCCGCCCCTCGCGTCCCGCCCCGCCCCTCGCGCCGCCTCCACGCCCAGCTCCGGCCGCCGCCGCCGCCGCCTCCCCGGCGCTCGCTGGAGCGCGCGCCCGAGCCCCAAGCCGCAGCGCGGCCGGGGGGCGGGGCCGGCCCCCAGGGAGGCGGGGGCGGGGCCGAGACGAAGCTCCGCCTCTGGCGCCGTCGCCTAGCGACGTGTCGCGCACGCGCGCGCGTGCTCCGCCATCGTCGCGCTTCCAGGAGCCGGCTTCCGCCGCCGCCGCAGACGTCCGGCAACACCCAGCCCCGCAGGCCCTCGCGCTGCGCGTGCGCACGCTTCACCCCGCCCCCCAGCCCCGCCCGCCGGCGAGCTACGTCACACTCCCACGCTCCGCATTCGCCGGAGAGATGGCGGCCGAGGGGCCGTGGGGATAGGAAACGGTGCGCGTCGTGCTTGGGGCCGCCATGACAGTCCCCAGCCCGCCAGCGTCAGGAGCGCCTTGGCTTTTTTCTTTTTCCATGTTACTCGTGACGACAGCCTCGAGGCCGCCGCCCCCAAGTCACACCAGTAAGTCCGCGGCGGCGCGCCCAGGCCGCAGGCAAACCGCGTCCACGCCCGATGACGTCGCAGGGCCCCGCCCAACACCCCCTAGCCCCGCCCCCTCGGCGTTCGCCCGAAGCCATGCTTCTCCCTACACGGCGGCAGGCAGCCACGGCGCCTGGGACACCTGGAGCGCGCATGCGCTGGCCCGGTCGGGAGCCCGCAGAGCGCCTTGGCAACAGCCGGAGGGACTGTCCGCGCGGAAGCTCGTTGTCACCGCAGCCAATCAGGTCACGCTTCTGGACGCGAGCGCACCACTCTTGACCAATAAAAAGGCGTTCTCGTCTTGTTAACCAATGGGGAAAAGACTCGGTCTTAAGACGGGAGGGCCTGGGCGTTTGCGCTTGCGCACGTTCGAGTAACCAATCGCAGGCCGGGAGGTTAGGCTGAGCCAATCAGGAGTCCGGGGGCGCTTGGGCCTGCGGGAGGCAGTGCGGGACTGCGGGAGTGGGAGAGCGGGGCGGAGGCGGGGTCTGGCGAAGGCGGTGGGGGCGTGGCGGAGGCGGGGCTTGCGGCGGGGGCGGGGCTGGCTCTGCTTGGACGCCGCCCCCCGGCCGCTCGGCCTGGAGATGGGCATGGCAGCGGTGGGGGAAGCCTGCGGGCTGGCTCGTGGGCTGAGCAGCGGAGAGGACCGGGACTTTTGTCTTCAGGGTGAGAGGTTTTCCGGTCCCTCCGGAGGCATCCATCGCGCACCATTTCTGCGCGGTCCTCCGTGGGTGCCTCCTGGAAACGTGTGTTGTCTGTCGCTGCTCCCCGGGCCTTCCTCCTGCTCTCCCCGACACAGCAGCAGGTCTATGAGAAGTCACGCCCTGGCGTGTGTCTTCACTCAACCGTGTCCTTGAGACGACGACCCCCGGGCCATTGCGACCCCACGGTTCTTGGGAAGGCCGCGTTTTCCCGCTTCTCTCAGAGCTCGGTGCGCCCTCCCACCCTTCCCGATTCCCCACAAGGTCATTGCAGAGCGGGTGCCAGTCTTGAGTTCCTCTGACACAGCCAGGCGGTGTCTGTCATCTTTCCTGTCGCTCGGCAGAGGACAAACGGGTGTTGAAATATAAGCGTACCGACATTTCAGAACAGTTCTGTGTGCTTGAATCACCTGGCTCTGGTGCAACTACGAGTTTTCACTTAAAACAATTTAGAGCAAGTGCCCTGTCAAATTCAAAATGTAAAACACCGTCTCTCCGTCTTCCTTCATATCCATGGAGGTTAGAGCCCAGGACACCTCCCAAACCAAAAACCTGCAAATGCTCACACCCCTTATGTGAGATGCCATGTTTGGATTTAGCCTACACCTCCTCCCATACGCCAGTTACCTCAAGATTCCTTGCAGTCCCTAATATATTGTGAATGTCAGGCAAGCAGTTGTTGTACAGTATTTGGGAAGGGGAACTGGACCTCATCACAAATGTATATGCTCAGTACAGAGCACCATCAAGAGATTTTGAACTATTTCAGGTTGGATGCAGGAACACAGTGGGATGCTGATACACCTCCGTCATTATTTCTGCTGATATAGGTCAGCCATTACTTCTCTGTTATGCACCATGGAGGTTTAAGAAGCTGAATCTTAGAGAACAGGCAGTGAAGAAAAATTAGGAAGCATCAGGAATGTTGTATGGGAGTTGAAACTGAAGCTAGTCGTGTAAGGAACGTGACTAAAATTGAGGGAGCGTGCCCAGGAGCTTCATGTCTGAATGACTTTGGCAGCAATGTTTCAAGTGCTGTAGCTGGGCTTTACAGGTCTAATTCTCTGTACGACTAGTGGGCTTGGGTGTGATTAATTTGTCTCAGCAGCAGCTACGGTTTTCTGAGGAAAGACAGAGTGCTCCCAGTACATTTCAAACTATGTGTTTGGAGGATAACACTTCCAGGTGCACTGGGATTAATTGGAGCCAAGACGAGTCACCTTCTCTTTGTTGACATATCAGTCGGTATTGGTTGCTTTCTCGTTGCTGTGACCAAACACTTGACAAAAAAAAAAAAGACATAAGGAGAAAAGCTTGTTTTCACTCACGGCTCACGGGATGGAATTCTGCCATGTTTGGAATGGCTTCCTGTGGCCAGAGCAGGACTCTGAAGGTCTGGAAGCAGAGACTGGAGTTCTGGATCTCGGCCCGCTTTCCCTTTTTAATCAGCCCAGTTCCCTAGCTAGTGGTGTGGTGGCAAATACAGTCAAGGCTCGTCTTCTCTGCCCTCAGTTAGTCTTCTGTGGGAGAGACCTCTCGGACACGCCCGGAAGTGTGTCTCGGTACGCTGTAGGTGCTCTTCAGTCCAACCCTGGTCGGCAAGTGAAAGCAACTGTCCCATAGTCTGCCTTTCTAGTCCCAAGCAATATGGTGGAGCTGAAAATCTACGCAGGGCCAGTGATTTGGGGTGTGGGCTTGTGTTAGGATTTGGGATCCTGGAGATAGCCTTAAGCAAGTCTTCTTCTGATTCCTAGTTACCCCCCAGAACTGGGAGGCTGTGAATTGAAATGCATGTGATAAAAGTTATCACAGAGTCATGAGTGACTCCCATAACCCAGCATGGTCTGGGAGAGGCCCTTCTCCGGCTGTTCACCTGTGTTGGGTGTACAGAATGCAATCTGTAACGTAGCTGCAGATCATTTCTTTCCCATGCGGTTTTCATTTCACGAAAGTGGATTTGTTTGTTTGTCTGTTGTTTGCCAACAACAGATAAAACAAAACCTGTGGGCAGGAATGTATTTTCTTGCCAGGTATGGGTTGGATGATGACACAGTCCAGATGTGTGGTGGCTTGTGGGATTGATTGCAAGGTGAGCTGCTACAAGAAGAAGGTCAGGGTGAAGGTGGTGGTACATAGCTTCAGTCCCACTTACCAGGATTTCTAGAAGCAAAAGTTCAAAATCCAAGGCTTGCCTAGGCTACATGGTGAGTTCAAGGCCAGGATGGGCAGCTTAGTAAGGGCATATTTGCACACTAAGATTAAAATTGGTTGAAGGTAGACCCTGTAGGAGGACATGAGCTTAGCATGCAGGGCAGAAGGCCTTAGTCCAACCCCCCCCCACACACACCCCAGTCAGTACAAGGTGAGACATTGGAGTCCACACCCTGATCTTAGCCGTGTTCACTTCTGCGCCCACGTAAGCCCTACTCCCACGTTGATTCCAGAAGCTTCAGTCTTCATTCGCGTGTCTGTGAGAAAGACAAAAGGAAACAGGACACACAGTTTTGCCTGGGAAGTGTAAATCCGCTTGGCAGTGGAAACCTAGCACTGAACGCTGACACCGCAGGGTCCCTGGGCTTCAGAAGCGTGTTGCTGGGAGAACAGGGAGAAAAAAATGAAAACTTAATTTCTCTTCTCCCCACTGGATCTGAAGGGCGCTATCTCACCTATATCCAGACACTCTCAGTTGTCACCCTTGTGTTTCCATGGAAACCCAGCTCCTTCTGTAAAAAATAAAATAAAATAAATGTTGAAAAGAGTGGGATGCAGTGGGAAAGGCGCTGTGTCTTCTGGCTTCGTGAGTTCAGCAAGAAGCAAATATGCACAGAATCGAATGCAAACAAGCGGACGTTTGTGACTCAACCCGGGCTTCTGGGTTGTGAAATCCTGGCTCCCTTTGTTCCCTGCTAAAGCCAGGGTCTTGTGAGTCGTAACGGGGAGGACATGACGAACATGAAAGCTCAAGGACACTGTGCTTCAGGGAAATGCTGCCGGTGGCGATGAAGGGGACCTCTCTAGACCTCTGAGACTGCTGCTCGCACAGTTGAGACAAGTCCGCAGGCATGACGGACAGGAAAAGAGGGGGACAGGACGATCGCGGTCTCATGAAATCTTACCACACCTTGGTACTTTTGAAAGAAAAAGAAACTAGACTGCAAATACAGTATACAATGAGTCTGTGAAAGAAATCCAGCGGGTGAGGAAAAAAATGTTTCCAAAAGGCAGCTCTGAGGAGATCATTTCTGAAAGAGAAGGCTTGATGGATAAGAGAGAAAAGGAAAAGCCTGGCAAGTCTTAAGAACTCAAGGCTCTGAGGGAAACAGAGCTTCCGTGTGACGTGTGACTCACTCACCACAGCCAAGGGGCGGGCAGTGCTGCCGGCCTGGCCAGCAACTTCCCTCTGGCGTTGCCGAGGAAGCCGGGGTGAGCAGGGTTGGCCACGGATAGCAGAGTGTCTGTTGTTAGTTGTACCGAGCTAGCTCTTCTCATCGGTATATGGAGACCGCCAGGCTGGGGGTGTCTGGGATCCAGGTATCAGTTAGCAAACACCTCATTTGTGACAGCACAGAGCAGTGCTTAGAAAGCAGCCAGTGTCTGAGGGCGTTTTCATCCTGCAGACACGCCCCGTGCAGCGCAACGGTATCACACCGATTGAGCATTTGCTCTTATTTCTCTGTGTTCTA